ATTGTATAAAATATTATGAATCACGATAATTAATTACTTAAATATTTAAAAGATATAAAAATATATAAAAGATCTGATTGACTCTTCAAATTTTACCGGTGACACATAAATTGGGACAAATGAAATAATATATATTATTTGAAAATTTCTTAGAAAGTACTATAAATTACAGTAATTAACAACTAGAAATATTTCAAAGACAAAAAAAATTTGATTGAATCTCAAAAAATTTTTAGTACTACATAAATTGAGAAAGAAGAAATGACCTCTATTATTTGAAAATTGCGTAAAAATATTACAAATCATACAATAAGAATTAACAATTTAAAATTTTAAAAAACTTTAATGCTTTATACTAATTCTATTTCCACTTTGACAAAAATATCCTCCCAATATGCATATTTTTTTAAACAAAAAGTCGGACCCATTATTGATGTATTCAAGGATGCTTTGGTAATTTTCCTATGATGAATTCGTTTTGTTTGTTGTTTAATTTTTTTTAAATAATTGTATAAAATATTATAAATCACAATAATTATTTACTTATATATTCAAAAGATATAAAAATATGTAAAAGATATGATTAACTCTTCAAATTAACTCTTTAATTTTATCTTTGTCACATAAATTGAAACAAAAAATGATATAAATTGGGCCCGTGCTAGCACGGGTTCCGATTTCTAAGTATAAAATAGGTATATATTAACACATTAATGAAATTGCACCATGCTATCGACATGACAACCTGGACAGGTGTTAGGCTATGGACAAAGTGTATGGCTTGCTTTAATTTGGTTAGAACTTAGAAGGCGTCAATGGATGGGACACGTAAAGGATTATTGGGCCTACATGAGGAGCCCACCAACAAATTCATTCCGCCGATATGGGCCTGACTGTTTAATCACCGAAGAATTTAAAGTGGGCCTAGTCCAGATCGGCCAAATCTTGACACGTATATCATAGCCCATGTGATTTGATGCCACGTACCCCTCCCGACAAATGATTGAAATTTTTGTTAATGTAAGTGTATCAAGTGTTGACTTTATATTAAGCCTATTACGATGTCGCTACCAAAAGTCATACCTCTTTGAACTATTCATCTCTATTTACGAATTATGTGGTTATGTTTAATTGGATAAAAAATTATATTTTAGAATATTAAGTTAAATACTTCTATGATCATAAATGGTCTCACTAAAGATAAGGTGGAAAGTTACAAATTAACATTACTTTTAAATAAGACAATTTGTATATTTAGACAATCAAGGAATATTATCTAAGATAATAAATTTTTTAAGTATTTGAATTTTAATTATTGTGATTTGTATTATTTTTTTACTTATTCAGTTTTGACTTTGCACTTCTTTAGAAATAATGATTGATATGTGTATTTTACCTTGATACTCATGTTAATTGATGTTTAGTTTTTAGTTTTGAAAAATGATTTAAGAATAAGTAATTAATGTTTGGAGTTAAAATATGAAAAATAAAATAAAAATATATGTGTTTTCTTATGATATGCGAAAAGTGATAAATAAAAGTAATTTCTTTTTAATATAATGGATAAGAAAAAGTGAACCAAAGGAGTTTAGTTTCTAAATATATATTTTTTATTTTATTTTTGAAAAAGAAAATTGAAGATTTTATGTCCGAATTCATATAAAAAATTAGATAATTTGATTGTGAATCAATTCAAATAAATTAAAACAAAAGAAATATTGATATTAAAATATGCTAAAAAGAAAAGTATGAAACATAAATTAAAATAGAGGAAAATAATTCATTTGAGGCAATGTCTCGGCCATTTAGTTTTTTTTTTTCTTTTTCTTTTTCTAATGATGCGATGATAGGCTTGGTACGTGGCAAATGGGTTAGGGTGCATGATAATATTGTTATGTCAACTTCAATAAAATATGTGAAGTACTGAAATATAATTACTAAATTAAGAATTCCCACAAAACTGGAATTTGGAATACAATCACTGAAGAGTGCCCAAGTTTCTTGTACAGCCAAAAATGGTGTTTTCAGTTACCTTTTAAATAACAAAATAATAATTCTGAGAGACACATAACTAAAACATGGAGATCAACAGCAAGCGAAATTATTAAATTTCAAGTATTATTTTTTCAATATTTACACTCATAAAGTCTCAATTACTCCGGTAGATATGTAATATTATGACTTGTTTGTATAAGTTACTTTCGATCTTCATATTTCTATAGGTGAATAGATGTTTTATCATTCATTTGTTAAAGCAATTTGAGGTCAATTAAAGTGTTAATTAGGAAATTTGATACGTACAAAATATTATCGATCCCTGAACATCAAAGATTACGCTTATTTAGATTATACAGTCAAGCACTTAGAGCATAAGCCTTAAGACATTTTGTGAGTGTCCCACCCAAAAGCGAGCCAGAAAGGCCTTTTAAAAAAGTGGTAACCATAATTCTCCTATAGAAAAATGGTAGCTAGGGTAGGTGATGATTGACAAGCAATATGCTTGAATTCCTTGTCCATACCAATTTCCATCACTTAGCACCATGTGTTTGTCCCAAATGAGGCTTTCGGTGCAAAATGGCATGATATCTAAAAAAATTAGGCTGGGTTTCTTGTCACTTAGAGATAATGCCAATGACATTGTACTGTAATTGAGGGTACCACTAGACGGGTTGGATTGGTATTAGACCGATCAAAATGAATTGAATCAATAATTATTGTGTATCATATATTTATCAGGGGCAGACCCACATTGTATAACAAAATGACACTATTTGATCCGCATTGTATAACAAAATGACACTATTTGACAACAATAGTCAATTGGCATGTTGGTTCATTGTCTGGTTTTAGTATTTGAGGTTGCGGGTTCATCAAACCTAATTCTAAGCTTACTGAGCTTGACGTCATGAGTTCAAACCTCATTCGAAGCATACTTTTGCAAAATATAACATTTTCTTACAAAAAAATGTGGTTAAGTAGTATCAAACTCAAGACCTCTTCTAGCTTAAAACTAATTTAAATCAAGTTAAGAATGTAATTAAGTTAATTTTTTTGTGTACGCCACTGTATAATATATAAGAGATAGGCACTTTTGTATAAACGTAGTCATATGATGTGAAAGGTAGCAATTAGACGAATGAACACCTGTCATAAAACTTAAATTTGAAAGAACAAAATTCATTGCATGCACCATTAAATTAGTGGTCCGTTATCTATTCCAGAAAAAGATAGTAGTACCAATAAATAATACGTACGTACTTACTGTAATAGAAATCAAACAAAGGACGCGTTGCACTTTACTATTATCCTCCAATTAAATTAAGGTTGTACTTGTACACTACCATTATTATTGTGTTGGCACCACCTTCTTCAAAAATTTCTACTCTTCGTTTATGGCATGGAAATATATATTCTGCTCTTCATTTGAAGATTCTTCTTTCAGCATGTCATTCTACTACTACTTCACATTAGGGGTGTGCATTCGGTTTGATTTTACACTATTCGATTTGGATTTTCGATTTTGATTTTGTAAAAGTGTAACCCAATCTGATCCAAAATAAATTTGGTTTTCCTCTATTCGGTTTGGCTTTTTTTCGATTTAGTTACTCGGTTATGTCAATAATTAATAACATATATAACCAAAGTAGTAATATTTAATCCCTTAAATATTCTTTCTAATATAAATCATAAGTAAAACTTAAAACACAATACTTATAAGTATACCTATTATAGATGTAATTCAAACATAAAATATAAATGTAATCATCATGAAAGGCAATAACCAAAAAGGGACAAAAGTGGTTAACTCCAACTTAATTCTAAACGTAAACATTATATATATATAAATAATTTGGTTTTTTTCGGTTTTTATTTTTTAAATTCGAAACCAAACGAAAAAACCAAACAAAGTAATTTATTAATCCAAAACCAATCCGAAAAACCAAAAAACCAATCCAAATAAAAATTCGGTTTGATTTGATTTGGTTATTCGATTTAATCCGAATTGTGCACACCCCTACTTCACATAGCATGCACAAGTGCACTGATACTCATCTATCAGCAAATTTTCTGCAATTCCTTTACATGTTAAATTAAATTTGAACTAGGACTAATTTGTTTGCTTTCGACTTGATCTCAAATTTAGGAACGTTAATCTCAGTTCCACAAGCATTGCTGGAATTTCTCCAAGTTAAAGTAATCCTATATGCTCAAAGAAGCTACTTATCAGATAGTGTCAAAACAAATTAACTCTACAAAATGACCAATGAACAATAGAATGTGTGTAATCTCCCTTCAGATAACTATGTTGTTGTAGTCAATCAAGCTAAACCCATCAACTATGCTTCAAAGCCAGGTTAGTTTGGATCAGGTTTATGAATACTCTATATCCGTGTTCCACTCTATTCATTCCAATACTAAACCATTTACCTTTCAAAGCAAATTAGAGGCTTCCTAAATGGCATGCTTCTAATCTCACTTAGTTGATATTGTCTATATAGAAGCTTTACTTCAACTGTGTAGTCATTTTCCTTCATGCTGTACTAAATCTAATTAAGAGATGAATAAGTTGAAACGTTTTTTTACAGGTTTAACTTTAATGAAAGCATCCCACAATAGCAATCCAGTTCACAAACTCAAAAAAAAAGAAGGGGATGCATATCTCCAGTAGAAGTTGCGTTCTCCTATGAGGTTCCGTATGAAAGGATAACCAATTGACAAGTAAAAGATGATAACCAGAACCCTTAAAATAAACATGCTTTCTTCTGTTGAATTAAATCGTAACTTCTCTTCGAATGATACTTAGATATAAAAAAAACAATCTGAAAACCGAAAAAGAAGAGGAATCACATCATCTCTTCACACTCACCAACCTTTCAACAAAGAATGTTCTTCTGGAAAGTTATATCCTAACTCACATTCATTCAGCATTCTCAATTCAAGTTGAGCCAACCCGCCAAATATCAGAAAATGACCTCAAACATATGGTGAACCAAAAAATCATGTAAAATTTATTTCCTCAAACATAAATAACTGATATATCTGTAATTTTTTATATAATAAAAAAAGAACAACCACAACTAAGAAACCGCTATAGCAGCACATATTGAATAAGAACATTATTTGTCTTAGATCGGTTTAGCGCTCAACTTTCTTTGGTTCAAGAGGAGGAAGATCTATCAATACAGATGCAAATTCATACACTTGGGAAATCTTCATATTTATCATGTATAAAGGTGATGGCACTGTAATCTCATACTCTCAAATTTAACCAATTAACCTCACTGTTGCGCATGGGAAAAATTCTGTACCTTTGACTACTTGAGCTGATAATCATTATAAGCCTACAGCTCATATATCTCTTGCAGAAATCTGTAAAGCTGTTCTGCAACTATTTCAGGACACTCTTCCTGGGGAAGGAGAGCACCTGGCACTTCAACATACTTGCTGACCCCTTTGGCCTCCTTAAGTGCTTCCATCTCTGCTTTTGACCTCTTGGGAGATCCCGCTGTTGCCAGAACTAGACACGGTATCTTACCCTCCAACTCTGCAAAGAGTTGGACAAATTCCTCCCTGGACTTTACTGGGTCAAGTAAACCAGTCAAGAAAGCAGCAGGCACATAGCGAGCACCTTGCCGTTTAGTGAGTGCGAATCGGCTCTCGATGATATATGGAGTTACCTTTTCAGGGTCTGCATAAACATGGGACTTATATTGTGATGTTATTGATTTCTCATTGCTGACAAGTACATTATACATCATCCAACCAACAGCAGGGGCCCTTAAGGTCCCTCTAAGGAAACCATACCTGTAAAAAATGAGAATGAAAATATCGATCACAAAATAATGTAATATCATTTTTTGCAAATGAGTGAAAATCTTAATACTACTATTATTGTTATCATTATTGTTTTCAGATGAAAACTTCAAATTTTGAAAACTAAAGTGCTGGCAGTCATAAGCAAGTGTGTTATCCAAAGAATTTTCACGCAGGAAAAGCTCATATCATTTGCTTCTTTCCTACAAAAACTGAAATAATCCAATATGGTGTATTTAAATTTCTGAACCTTGTAATCCTCTATTCTTATGACCGAGAAATTCGTTTAGGGCCAACGCAGCCTTCCGAGCTCAAGGATGATGGGACCCCCTCTACCCTTCTCCACTTAAAGCTGGCTTAGTTCGCATGATGTAGGGCTCGAACCTGTGACCTAAGTCACAAGTGCCTCAACCTTGCCATTTAAACTAAGCCCTGGGGCGAACATGACTAGTTGATATTCCAAACCTTGTAGTCCTTTTGTTCTCTATATTGGGCATAGCCCTATAATGCGTGTCATTTAGCAAGCTGTTGAGATCTCAGCTTAATGAAGGTGTCATAAAGGTGCAAGGGAAGTAAAAATCTATGCCTACCTTGTTTCCATGCTGGAATCTCTTCCAAAAACAATAGGAAGTGGACCAGCCCAGGTGGGAGCAATAGAAGCAATTGCTGTTGGCTTAACCAAGCCCTTCTTTGCAGCAAGAACTGCTAAGGTAGCAGCATGTCCTCCTCCAAACACCACCAAGTCCTTATCTGATTTATTTTAAAATAATTAACAAGTTAACCTCTAAGCAAATAAAAGAACAGATATCTTCAAAAATATTAAGGAACTTGGAAAAACATTTCCTGACGCAGAGGGCGAACATAATAGAAACATCACGTAAACACACAAAGGTAATAGCAGAAGACAGGGGGAAAAGCAGTAGACATGGGATGGCTGACTTTCCAACTATGGCTCATGCCGGTGTGTCCCATGTTACCTTACAATTTTCTTGCTGCGATGGATGATCCCCTGGCAATGGTTTCCCCAACTGACAGTACCTTTTGCTCTTAGTAAAAGTTGTGGATTGTAAACTTCATTCTCCACTTTTCATTATCAAAAAAAAAAAAAAAAAAAAAAAAAAACTCTTATCTCCACTTTCTTTGATAAACTATCTACCTTATATGTCTCAAAAGGTCCCCTCTAACGATCGCCTTAAGAGATTTATCAAGAGTAACATATCTACTATAACAAATTTGGAGATTTAGGATCAGGGCACTACAAGCTATATCCTTCCACCCCACAATACAAAACCTAAACCAAAGAAACTACCCTTTTGGGCTCTTGGTTCTAGTTTTCCTCTAACATCGTATAAGTAGAACAACCCAAAATTCTCAAATTTGAATGATTGCAGATTGACACAATCATATACATCTTCAAGAGTCATGAACTCAACACCCATAGACAGCTTCACCAAGTTATATGCTATTAAGACGGTATTTAGCTTGGACGCCTTAGCAGACCAACATTTGAGAGAATAGACCTTTCTCTCCCTAAAAAGATTATATTAATCTGTTCAGCAATGTCAGACTTTCTGTTATAAGTATTTATAGCATACAGTGTGACAATTTCATGATCCTCACGGAATTTATTGATATCACTTCCACAAAGGTTTTAAAATTATGAAGCCTGTTGATTGCTCCCCAAACTTCTCAATCAAGATCTTCCACCTCTTAAACGTGTCTGGGGATTTATATTTGTGTTTTTTAAGATATTACGAAGAATTTTTTATTTTTTTTTGAGAAATCATAAGAAAGGTTCTTAAATATTTTGTACTATCTTTAGATGAAATGCAGGTCTTTGATGTAGGCTACAATACCTTTTGTTTTATGGATACAAATACCAAAATAAGGCCTCTCTTGATTTCCAAATATACAGCGCACAAAAATCTATCTTTCTTGTAGCTTGCTCAATGCTCGCAAAGAAGTTCACATTTGCTCAACACTAATCTCAGTAACATCTTGATCATTATGTTGTGTTTTCTTCTCCAGCTCATTCTTTAACTTCTCACAATCATGGGAAGATGTCCCAGTGTTCCCAAATTTCAACAAATGACATCTTTCTGGATTTACACCTTTAGAGTGGATTATCTTTCAAGCATTGCTCCTTGGATCTTCTTCTGGGTATAGTGATATCAAGGTCAATCTTCTATTTGGCTTCCAGAGAAATGGTACTCTTATCTAGAAAATATCTCAAGAAAGTACCTCGTAGTTTTGGTTCAAATCCCAGAGGAGAAAAACACACACTAGGTGATCTCTTCCTATCTTCACAATCATTGGTAGATAAAATTACCTGGTATCTATGCCGACTAGCCCAAACACCACCATCATAAGAATAAAAAAAATACCAGATTTTTAACTCAAAAGAAATTTCTGGAACTATTTCCCAACATTTCTATTCTCTAAGCATTATTTTCTAGAACTCTCCTGAAAACAACTTGATACAAAACTTCATGTCTAACTTGATCAGAATAACGCAAAATTGACCTCCAACTGCATCAGTACATGTGTCAACACAGAGAGAACGCATTTGTTTCCCAACACTTCTATTCACTAATAATGTCCAACTTGATCAACATGAGAAAAAAAATGAGATCTCCATTTATAGGGATTACGAAATCTGTTTGCGTCATTGCATGTGTCTGTATCATGTGCTGATAAAAATCTATCGCTCTGTGATTGCAACCTCCTATAGTTTCCTAACTCTCTATCTGTTATTTTTCTTCTTAGTCCTTTTTAATGTACTTCAACCCCTTTTTTTCATTTGAAAAAGAGGTTCACCTAATCTTGATATAATGTTTTAGAGTACATTTCTTTAAGTATAAGATTACAAAAAATATCAATTCCAAAGATCCAAACAGGATCAAAAGAATTTAAGACACCAAAAACAAAATCCCAAAATCAAACGCCTGCTCATGGTTTGATAGTTCAAATATCACAGTATACAATCTGCAGTTAAGTAAAAATATGCAAGTATAAACAAATAAGCAAATCACATAAGCTAAAGAGATCTTTCAGCTTACCCGAATTGTTCACCGGACTATCAGGAGCATTAATGAAGTCTACCAAAAACTTTTCCATAACATCAGCATTGTAATCAAGCTTAGGTCTATCAGAGTAACCTAAACCAGGCCAATCCACAATGGTAGTTTTGTAATTAACTTTACCATTTCGTCCAGCAATGTCTTTAGCCACTGATCTCCATTCCTCAACAGTACTAACATCTGAAATAGTGGGAATCATCAAAATGTTCTTACAAGGCTCATCGCTTCCCTTGTCGTGTTCCTCGTAGTAAATATTCACAGAATTGTCCTTGTATTTCCATACCCAGTTATTATTCTAGCAAAAAAAACAAACAGATTCACCAATTTTAGGAGAAGCAAGTAGAAATCAATGATTGGGAAAAAGGGTGTGGATTTTAAGTCTTACCTTTGTAGATGTACCGGCGAGGGAGGAGGAAGAATAATCGACAGAAGTAGAAGCTTTGACTATAAGGGGTTTGTAAAAATTTGGGGTTTGAGTTCTGCTGTTTCTGAAGGAAAGAGAGCTCAATGAAGATGATGGTAGAAAGTTGAAAATTGCAGAGGAAGCCATGAATGAATGGTTAATGGAGACTCTGTCGATGAGTGAAAATGGAAACTTTCCTAAAATTTCTGCAACACAATAATTGTTTCTCTTTTCTTGGTTTTGCGACTTTGTGTGAGGAAGAGAAGCCGACGGTGTTGATTTTTTCTTTATTTCCTGTTCCAACTTAGATTATAGTCTTTTGATCTCTTTTTATTTTGCACGATTATTAAGAAATTATAAATAACAAAAATAATTTTTCTAATTCATTTCTTTTCTTTTTTTTGAGAATTTCACAAAAAAGTGTGAACACTTTCAAAAAATAATAATGTAAATGTAAAATAGAAAAAAAATAATTAATATTTTTTTGATGTAGTATGATAGATAATTAATGTGTGACAAATATTTTTAATATAATGATCAACTAATAAGAGATGAAAAAAATATTTTATTATTTGAATTATTGTTATTATTATTAAACGACTTCGAGGTTGATTAGGTCAAATACTTTAAAGCAATTGCCAACAATGAATGGTGTTTGAATGATCGATGACAATGAATTTTGATTTCTTTCTGAATCGTAAGTTTAATGGATCAAGTACACAATTAAACTTTGGATCTGCTCTGATCGGATTTTGAGGTTTAGGATTGAACTTGATTTATCAAAATTGATAACAAAAGGTGAAAATCTAGTAACTTGATTGATTTTACTAAAAGCAACAATCAATTTGGGATTACTAAAACCTTTAAGGGGTCGTTTGGTAGAGTGTATAAGAATAATGCTGAATATGATGTATTAGTAATGCATGCATTAGTAATGCAAGCATTAGTAATGCTTGCATTAGTTATGCTTGCATTATTTCTTATACATTGTTTGGTTTGATGTATTGGAAATAGCAAGCCTTGTATAAAGACTATTAAAAAAATATTTGTTTACAAAAATACCCCCACATTCTTTTACAAAAAAAAATAAAAAATAATAATAATAATAATAATAATAATAATTATAATAATAATAATAATAATTATAATAATTATTATAATAATAATAATAATTACTATTATAATAATAATAATTATAATAATTGTAATAATAATAATTATAATAATTATAATAATTATAATTATAATTATAATAATAATTATTATTATTATTATTATTATTATTAATAATAGAGGGTAGTTTTGTCATTAGTTAATCTAATGCATGCATTAAAACCATTGTATTGCTAATACCTAGAAATCCATGGCATTAGCAATACACACTTTAATACACAATAGAGTGTATAACTAATGCAAGCATTAGTTATACATAGGTTGGAAAAGAGTACCAAACAAGGTACTAGTAATACACAGTGCTAATGCATGCGTTATTTTTCCTAATACACTCTACCAAACGACCCCTTACTGTTTGTGTTGAATTCATTCCGACAAGTCAAGTGCAATTTCAATTCTCAAAACCTGATAGGAAAAGTTGTTATCCTAGAAGTAAATTTAAAATATGAGTATACAACCCATCATCAAACTCATTTTCTGAAGAAAAATCAAAATCCATTACTGCGGAGAATCAAACAATTCCCCGTTTTTCTTATATAAAATTAATGAAAGCTATAAAATTTAAAAGAAGCCTAATTGGAAAATGAATGAACGGGGGTGTTTTATACATAAAAAAAAAATTGCTATGAAGCAATAAATTTGAGATTACTTTGTAAATTCTATAACTTTGCTAATTTGTTTTTATCTAAAATTAATTACAAGTAGTTCTCTTTTTTTATTTAATATTAAATTATCATAACATATTTTCTCACATATAAAGATGGAATAGTCCTTTTTCTTTTGTCCAAAAAAATTGAATGCTCATGTAATACAATTCAGTTCCAGTTACATTATATTTTTGAAATAGATACTTACATCTTTATATCATGAAAATCTTACACTTCCACCTCATAAATGTATGTTGTAACTAATCATATTAATTATAATTATTAAAAAAATTAAATTATAAATACATCTTTTTATGAACTTAAAAAATAGGATAAACATACTTGCTGAATAATTTTTTTTACTACTTTAATATTTTTTTTAAAAAAGAGAATAAATACTTTTAAATAGGAAATGAACTCAAATTGAGTAATAAAATGACAATAACTTATATTACATATTTAGCAAAATATTTTAACATTTTGAAACATCTAAATACTATAATGATGATATCTTATACCAAAAACTAGATACAAGAGTCCGTGCAAGCATGGACCCAATATATATTACTCTATTTATGTGGCACATATAGAATTAAAAGAGTTACACCAAAATTTTAAACTAAAATTTTGTATAATTTTTAATAATATATGTTACTCATTTTGTCCCAACTTATGTAGTACATGGACTTTGATAGTCAACTAAATTATTAATATGTTTTTTTTAAATATTTTAAGTTATTAATTATTGTGATTTATAATGTTCTTAATTAATGTAATTTTCAAATAATGTATGTTACTCTCTTTGTCGCAATTTATGTGGCACATGTGAATTTTTGAGAGTTGACCAAATTTTAATATGTTGTTATAAATATTTTTAAGTTGTTAATTATTGTGATTTATAGTACTCTTAACGTAATTTTCAAATAATATATTTTACTCCCTTCGTCCCAATTTATGTGGCACAAGTGAAATTTTGAGAGTTGATCAAATTTTAATATATTTTGTAAATTTTTTATTTTATTAATTATTGTAATTTATAATTTTATTTTTAGTAATTTATAAATACAACATACTAAAAAGGAAAATAAGATAAATAAATTAAAAAAATAAATAAATTAAATATAAATTGAGGAGAAGGGAAAATCCATCAATTAACCGACGGATCTAAGCTCCTCTATCTGAATCTATATTATAGACTATCGAGTAATATCAAACAATAATATTTGAAAAAAGCATCATACAAATCGCCAAATAAAACTTTTATTAAGTTAAGTTTTAAAGCTACAGAAAGTTTAAAATACGAGTCTCCATCTAATTTGGATTTCGATTGTAGATATCAAAACTTTTGTGTTGACTTCAAGTTGACAGTGAAAAGCAAGTTAACAAATCAACATAGAAGAATAAAATTTGTTCATTACAGACATAATTGTATACTTTTGGTTGTGCCATTCATATAGTTGAATTACATAATTACAGGGTTAAGTCATTGATAACCACATAAAGTTATTCATATAATTCACTTGGACACCTCAACCTAACCTTATACCTATTGAACACCTTTACCAATTTGAATTTGAACCATTTGAACACTTTTTTAACAATCAAATAAAAATATAAAATGTGTGTAACACACTCGCGGTGACGTGGTGAACTAACAAATTAATGACGTACACGTGGAAATTTGAGTTAAAATAATAATTAAACATTTATTAAGAAAATAAAAGGAAAAAAAAGGAAAAGACCATGTCCGCCACCATTGACCTTCGACCCTGCAACCTCCTCTATTCAAAGTGTTTCATCCACCCATTGTCGCCACCATCAGTTGTCAATCCACCATCTCTCTTAATTCAACTAAAAATAAATTCAGAAATGTGTTTTACAGGAAAAAAGTTTGAAATAACAAACTACATACTCTTCTTTAATTTCTTCATTTTTTCGTCTCTGATTCGAAAGAAAGTTGAAGGAAATTCAACCATTAATGGTGGAATTGAAGTGTTTGTGAAGAGATTTCCTAACTTCAAATAAGAGGTTCTGAAACTATTTGTTTAAAATCGAATTGTTCATCGATTTCTTCATTTCTATTCCTTTTCTCTTCAAGTTAATGGTAAAATTGTTTTTTTTTCCAGAAGAAATTACTCAAAGGATTTTAAAATTGTTTGGTTTGAGCTTAACAGAAAAAGAGAAGAATTGATGGTGGTGGCGCTAGCGCGGTGGAATGGTGGCGGCGGGGTGCACGGTTGAAATGGTAGTGTAGCCGTGTAGGAAGAAGATATGGTCACAGAAGAAAGGAAAAGAAAGAGGTACAACTAAACACATTTTTGAAGAATATATGTTCACGCGCTAAATAATTGTGTAATATACTTTTCATGTCATGTCAGTGAAAAATGTTTAATAGCTACTTATTTTGAATAACTTAGGTGTTCAATAGGTACAACTTCTTGTTAAGGTGTTCAAGTGAATTATGCGGATAACTTTGAGTGGCTATCGATGACTTAACCCTAATTATAGACTATTAAATTAAATACGAATACGATATGTGAATTGTATATTCTGAAAATCAGTGTTTTAAGAGACTGGGGTGAGGCGAGATGTTTTACCTATCGAGACATAGGATAGTAAATCAGATAGCAGAAGCACTTGTTCACAGTATACTTCAAATTTCAACCAAAAGAAAACAACTTATTGAAATCAGATGGCTATATGCCTTATTACACAGTAGAATTACATCAAACCATGAGAAATTTTGGCACCAGAACGCCTAGAAGCTCAGTGAGCTTGACCATTAGTACTTCTTTCTTTCAAAACTCGAAGAAATGATACCGCCTTGTCATGATTAGGAACAGTTTCCTTAAGCAGGGGCAATTCGAGTAGACTATTAACCCATGAGAGAATCAGAGGAGCCTTTTCTGGATCCAGAAAGTTCACTCCAAATGCTTCTTCCTGTGCTTTGCACATGCCAAATGCTACGATGATCCAAATGTCTACGAGCCCTATGTTTCTGTTTTCAATTTTAGGATTGCCCCCGGGAAAAAAAGTCTTCAGTCCATCTTCAAGCACACTAAATTTCTGATGAAATTCCTTACATGCCTTTTTTTGGTCTTCTGCAGTGAATATATTGAGCATGCACTCCATCACCTGAAATATGTGAATTATTGTACTATATGAAAAAAGGGTGGATGCGCGCATTAACTTAAAATGGATTTTGTTAACTTAATTACCTGTTGAATATAAGCAGCCCAGAACCGGACTTTGGATCTTTCATAAGGATCTTCTGGCAAGAGTTGAGGTCCATTCTTCCATGTTTCGTCTATGTATTCAACGATGACAAATGACTCGTTTACTGGTTTTCCATTGTGAACGAGTATAGGGACTTTCTTATGAATTGGATTGTATTTGAGGATCAATGGACTTTTGTTGCTTAAATCTTCTTCTATATACTCAAAAGGTATGCCTTTGACTTTGAGAGCC